TTATCATCACACTTTTATCTATTTCAATTAACTTTGTAAATACTACTAATGCTGATGCCTGTCTGTCTTCATAGATGGAACACAAAGTTGTACTTGTTTGTATTCAAATTTTTTGTAATAAACTTTTAAAAGGGTTATTTTGTCATTTTTGTAAAAAAAAAAAACAAACAGTTTTTTAACCCCTTAAAATTGTTTTTCAGCAGCCAAAGATTATGAGGTATTTCCGATCCACTTTTAAGCCATATTCATGCATATATAACGTACTAGGAGTAACAATTACTCCCCCCGTTTTAATTTTTTCATTTTACTTTAGATATATTATACATATCTTTAGCTTTTAGACCAGTAAAAGATTCAAAAGTCTTATTTATTTTTTTGAATTCCGTAGTCAGTCAAACTAAGATAAATAAATTGAAACGGAGGGAGTGTTACATTGTAAATCATGTATGTAAGTATTGCATTATATATATGCAACACCAGAGTTGCAAAGGAGTTAAGAGCTGGAAATCCTGATGGAGCTAAACATGTTGTGGTTGTTGCTTTCAAGCAAACTATTGTGTTAGTATATGGACTTTGCTTGGCTCTATTGAATCATCATGTTGCCTGGGCTATCCTCTTTAGTGATAGTGCGGAGATAAGTAACAAATTTGCCTCCACGGTACCTCTTCTTTTAATAGGCTTTGTACTCGAATTCACTCAAGGAAATTTATCACCGTAGATATATATATATACACTATTAGTTTTAACATTCAAAATAAGCTTAATAACTTTGTCATTCGATATATCAGGGGTGGTTAGAGGATTTGGGTGGGAGCGTTATGCTATGTGCATCGACTTGGCTCGTTGTTTTCAAGTTCAGCCTACACGCTCAGGTAATTCAAGTACAGTCACATGCTTTATTTATGTCATTGTGTAGACAGATTTAAGATTTAATCTCGATGAAAGTTTTTGTTTATGAAAAAAATGTGATGCAGGTTTTATGGATTGGCTTGATATTGGTCTAGCTTGCCAATCGTCTGGCTTATCGCTACTGATATTATTGAGTAGATCATGGAAAAAATTGGAAGGCTCAACAAATAGCAATAGAGAAAGTGAACTTTCAGCTTAATCTTGTTTTTTTTTTTTTGTATAGCTTTGATATTGTTTAGTCACTTATTTGGTACGTCGTGTATAGGAGAGAAAATAATACGTATGTATTAGCTTTTGATTAACCACTTATTTGGTGGTATCATTTGGATCACAACACTAATTAATACAATCTCATGTTTGCCTGATGACATCAAAATCTTGAATTTCCTTAAAAGCATATTAGCAGTTCTAGTATGTGTTTGTTTTTGGAGATAATAATAAGTACACTATGTTTGATCATTCATTACTAAGTTTGTATAGTTGGAAATCATAGAAAAAATTGATATTTTTTTATTTGTCTTTGCAATTTTTATTTTCAATAAGTGAGAGACATTAATATTACAATTAACTTTATAAAATGACTCATTAAACATTACTATATGACGGAGTAGAGCATTGTATGTGTTAATAAGAAGGGAAAATTATGCGGTTTAACAAACTTATACTACTTAATTACTTATCATATAGTTGGCTATAATTATTACCCAAGACTAACATTATACATTAATTCTGTGGGCCGACTTCGATTATGTATAATTAACCACATTTGTATATGTATAATTCGTCAGAATATACAAATACATATGTATAAGATACAATTGTTTAATCAATATACATATACAATTAACCTCTCTCCCACAAACTGACCTCTTCCTCCCTCTCCCAATCTCGCTTGCTTTTTATACAAATGCATATGTATAATATACAATTATCTAACCAATATACATATACAATTCACCTCTCTCCTACTCTCTGCCCTCACTCGCTCGCCTCTCTCCTCCCTCTCCCAATCTCGCTCGCCTTTCTCCTCTCTCTCCCAATTTCGCTTGCCATGTATACTAATACATATATATAATAGACAATTATCTAACCAATATACATATACAATTCACCTCTCTCCGCCTTTTTGCCCCCTCTCTCCCCTCTCTCTCCTAATCTAGCTCGTCTCTCTCCTCCCTATAACATGTAGCTACGAATTGTAATTTTCAAACTATAGCTATGAGAATAATTAGATTATTTTTTAGTGGTTAAATATTACTACATAAACTTGGGATGATAGGGATATTGATGCATGTAGATAAAGTGTATGTGCAACTTGACGACGATTGTGCATCCTCCAACATGTTGTACACACTTTATCGGCACTTTTCAGTATCAATATTAAGGTTGGACATTAGATCGAGTTGTATCGGTACCGTTTTGATTACCATTCATTCCATCGGTCCGTTCCGATCCAATAGTATTCAGGATGGAATGGGATACATTGAATCGATACTCGGAACGGGACGGTATCATGATTTGATGGTAATTCATTCGGGTCCGAACCATGAAATTGGATCTGTTATTTTCTTTTTAATTTTTGTCATTATTTTATACTTTTATTAGTGTTTCTTTTTTATTAAAAAAAAAACAAATTACAACTTAATTCATCAACTTCAAATAACATAAACCTAAAACCTTTAAAATTTTATAAATTTCAAAAATTACAAACTTAAATTATTTAAATTATAAATTTTAAGTTATAACATATAACTTATAAACTTCAAAAGATTCAAATCTTGAAAACTTATAACTTAAAAAAATACCTTATTTAACTTAGAAAATAAAAAAAGACATTCATTTTTGTAAATCAAAATAACTCAAAAAAAAACTATTGTTTTCTGAAATAGATATATGTCTCGTTTCGTTCTAGTTTGTTCTATTTTATATCGGTATATGATGGACAGAACAGAATCGAGTTACCATCTCGATAATCGACTATCTGATTCATCCTGATACCGATCAACAACGCGGTCAAACCATCCTGGTCCGATCTGATACTAGTTCATTCCGATCTAGTGATTCGATTCCGGCCTAGTGCCCAGTCTTAATCTCTATCATCTCAAGTTTCTTTAGTATCGTTGATGTAATATCTGATGTAAATGACTACTACGACTAAAACTAAATTATATGGTGCGTCTGAATTCTGTACAGCAAACGATCATGTAAATTTGCTCAATCGATGTAACTGCACTGCTAAACATAGACTGCTTCTGTCCTTGCAAATTGGTTCTTTCTTGTTAGGGGTGTCAAAAATAAACTCAAACATAGGTAACTGACCCAGAACTTTAATGGTTGGGTTCAAAATAATTTAAATTGGGTTCAATCTCAACCCATTTTAAAAGAATCCTTAATTGAGCCACAAAAAATTATCCAAGTTTTATCCACCCTTTTGCACAATGAGTGTTAGTTCTTTCTACATGTCCTCTCTCTTTTCCATAGAGTTAAATGTATAAATAACAATAATAAGACAAGAAAGGGTTTCATTGATACCATTTACCAGATAATGAATTGATTGAGGAGTAGATACCATTTATTCCTTTGATAACATTCCATATAAGCCAGCTCATTAGAATGTTTCTTATGTCTCTCCATTATCACGAGGGAAGTTTGACTATCAATTGTTTCTTCTTGATTTCTTATACTGAGGCCTTTTACCTTTAAACTAGCCTCCTGTTGGGCTAAATTTTCCTGTGCATCCTGAGTAGGAGTAGTTTTTACCTAATTCTACTTCGAACTTAAAATTTCTTCAACTCATATGTTGAGTGCAGCAATGAAGAAGTTGTCATTGTTGGAGGAACTCCGCTTTTGCTACATCTCAATCATCAAAGATTCCATTGGAACCATAAGCCTTTTTAGTCATTCTTTAAAGTCGTTTAAGTTGAACGGCTAGATTCATGTATACGTTGAAGAAGCCTGATAGAATATGTGCTTTTACTTATCAGTCAATAGACCAGGTCTCTTGACACACTAATAAGTATAAATAGAAAGTAAATGCAGTTTAAACAACACAACGGTTTTACGTGGAAACCTCCTTGCTTAAGGGAGTAAAACCACGACCTGTCTCACAGGATTTTCAATCGTTTTCACTAATCTTCACAAGCAAAAGTGAAACACGATTACAACAAATGTGAGAAGAAGTTTTTAATCTCACGTTCAAGCAATAATCTCTATTGCTCAACAAGCCTAAGTAGAAATAAATCTACCCACTAAGCTATTCCACCTAGACAACTTAGAATTTCATTACTACCCACTGATTCCTTTATAGTTTCAAGAATAGTTTACAATGTAAGACCAATTGAATATATTCTTAAACAACTACACTACATGCTCCAAAGATTTTGTTTGAATAATTCTACCGTTTGTTTGCTGATAGCCTTTGCAAGTGTTCTTGAAAAATTCTTTGTCAAGTTGCAAAAACTATAAATGATATTTAGGAAAGTGACTTTTATATGGACAAGTCACTTTCCTTAAACTCTTTGCCAATGGTTGGAGAAGTTTGACTTTCTGACGCCGTTGGGAAGAGTGCACCTACTTTCTGTACTTTCTTTAGCTGGCAGTCAATCGGCTTGTCACATTGAGAGCCTGGTACCTTTACAAGGTCCCTGAGTTTGCTTTATCTTCAACACTCAAGTAAGAATCCTAGTATATTTACCTGGTCCCTAAGTTTGTCAAATCGTCAAAACTGCAAATAACAAAGCCATAAAAAAATACAAAGAACATGCCTAAACTACACCAACTTCAACTTTTTGGAACTAAGATGAGAAATGAGGATCGAAAACTATACTTCGTGGTTATCCTCACCTTGAATCATTTGATCTGCGTAAGACAGGAAACCGATGGCCATTTATTCACATATATTTTAAATTATTAATTATCGTAATTTATATTTCTGTTTTAAAAAGAATGGTCATATTTCTTTTAGTCTGTTTAAAAAAATGACTTTTTCTTTACGATATATTTGACATAACTTTAATTTAAAATAACGAAATTAAATTAAATATCATTTTTAAAACGGAGAGAGTAATATTTTTAAGAACTCTATATTATCTTATTCATATCAATTGACCCAAATAGTATTGACACTAAAATGGCTGCCATGGCCGGATTTTCTTCTTCTTCTTCTTCATCTCTATCAACTCTTCGAAAATCCTTTACTTCCACTTCGCCTATTTTCCCTTCATTCCATTCTCTGCTTCCGCGAATTCCAAAACCTTCATCACTCAAAACGGTAAACCCAACCTTCAAACCCTCCCTACCACGCCGATTCTCCTCCGCTGTTGCCGCCACCGCCGATTCCGCCGAAGTTAGACAATCCCTCAAAACTCGCTTGAAAAATGGAGAAACCCTTTACGGCATTTTCCTTCTCGGTTTCTCTCCAACCCTCGCTGAGATCGCTGGACTCGCCGGATACGACTTCGCCGTCGTCGATATGGAACATGGTCACGGAGGTATCTCCGATGCACTCCCTTGTCTTCATGCCTTAGCCGCTACTCAAACCCCAGCTATTCTCCGTATCCCTGAATCCTCAGCTACTTGGGCTAAAAAAGCCCTCGATCTCGGCCCACAGGGCATTATGTTTCCGATGATCGACGGTCCGAAATCAGCCCGAAAGGCAGTGTCTTACTGCCGTTTCCCGCCTAATGGCGTACGTGGATCTGCTCATACTGTTGTTAGAGCTTCGAGCTATGGAATTGATGAAGGGTATTTGAGTAATTACGAGGATGATCTACTGATCATGTGTCAAGTTGAGTGTGTAGATGGAGTGAAGAAGATTGATGAAATTGCAGCAGTGGAAGGGGTTGATTGTATTCAAATGGGACCATTGGATTTGAGTGCGAGTTTAGGGTACTTATGGGATCCTGGGAATAAGAAAGTGAAGGAGATGATGAATACAGCTGAAAAAGGAGCATTGAAGAAGAAGCCACTTGACGGTGGGGCGTATTTATCTGGATTTGCAATGCCTCATGATAGTCCTGAGAATTTGAAATCAAGAGGGTACCATATGGTTTCAGGAGCAGTAGATATCGCGTTGTTTAGAAATGCAGCTGTGGAGGATGTGAACAAGTTTAAGATGAGTTTGGATAAAGGATTTGAAGATCAAAAAGATCATAAAGATGGTGAAGAGAAGTACTGGAGTGAGTAAAAATTTGAACTTTTGTTACATTACATCCTAGTTTTTGAAGTATTATGTTCTGCTTTTTGTTGATTATGAGTCTTGGAGATTAACTTAAGTTTCGAATTTGAGCTACTTATGCAATACAGCCTTTTTTTTTGTTCTGAGCAAAACTTTGGTAGTTGAAATTGGTTGATTTGCTAGCTAGTCTAATGCTGGTCTACTGTGTTGGCGAATTTTGGGTATTGTTGATCAGTCTCAGTATGATAGGTTGCATCTTTTTGACAGTTCGTTACGTAATAGAAATACTCGTGTAGAGTACTTTAGAAATAGCTGTTGTGTGGAGGATATGAAGTTCGATATGAGTATGGTGATGATCAAGAGGATCGTAAAGACGGTGAAGAGAAGTATTGGAGTGAATCAACATTTGAACTTTGTTTGATTTTGTGTTAGAGTTTAGAAGATTTATTTTCTGCTTTTTCTTGATTCTGAGTATTGGTACTAGCCCCAAGGCCTAGCTCGAGTGGCAAAAGGTGGAGGACTTGTAGCTTAGGTCACAGGGTCAAGCTCCGTACCATGCAAAGCGAAGCTTGACATTTAAGTGGAGAAGGGTGGAGGGGAGGGTCCATTATCTACCAAGTTTAGAAGGTTGTGATTGGTCCAAAGGGCGGGTCACCGACGGAATTCTCGGTTATCAAAAAAAAATTGAGCTACTTATGCAGTAGATCCTCTTCTTTTTTTCTGGGCAAAACTTGGGTTTTGTTTGATTTTTCCTTGGTTATTTTAGCTGCTGAATTCTGAGTATTGGAACTAGCTCAAGTTTCTACTTCTTTATTTAGGGTTTATTATTTTCTGCTTTTTCTTGATTTCGAGTATTGGGAGTAGTGACAGAGGCAGGATTTCCACCGAGGGGTTCTAAAAAAGTTGATTCGGCTGAAGCCAAACATATAGCTACATCTTGAACCTGCTTTACCATTGAACCATGTCTTTGGCTTACGCTGAGGGCGTTCAATATTAAAGATACACACATAGAGTGTAATTTTTTGATGAAGGGGTTCGGATAAACTCCTGAACTCCTTGTAGCTCCGTCTCTGATTGGGAGTAGCTCAAGTTTTTCGAATTTGAGCTACTTATGCAACATAGCCGTCTTCTCTTTGTTCCATCAAGACTTTGGTTGATTGCTTCCTTTTTTACCATTTTAGTTGTTTTTTCCATAAGTATTTTAGTAGTTGAAATTGGTTTAGTTGCTAACTAATAACGTATATAGGGTACAAAATATTAACAAAAATTCCAAAACGGTATATAAAATTTTATATTAACCAAAACGGTAAAATCGCTGCAGATGCAGTGACTTACCTCACCTGAAAAAGCAAAATCGCTGCCTCAGCAGTGATTTTGCAAAAGTTATTTAATTTTATTTCTTACAAATCGCTGCCATGGCAGCGATTTTAATTTTAATTTTTTTTAAAAAAAGGTACATCGCTGCATGGTCAGCGATTTATAAAAAAAATAAAATTAAAAGGCAGCGACTTTATGAATTTTTTTTTAATAAAATAAATCGCTGCCTTGGCAGCGACTTTATAAAAAAAATTATAATATTTTTAAAAATTTAAATATATAACTTATAAGAAAATATACATTATTTTAAAAAAATTAAAAATAAGTAAAGCAATAAATATATTTTCTTTCTAAAAAAAGATATTATATTGAATTTAAATTTAAAATAATATTTGAATCCAAATAATTAATTTTTAAATAAATATTTCAAAAAAAAATAACTTTTGCAAAATCGCTGCCTCAGCAGTGATTTTGCTTTTTCAGGTGAGGTAAGTCGCTGCATCTGCAGCGATTTTACCGTTTTGGTTAATATAAAATTTTATATACTGTTTTGAAATTTTTATTAATATTTTGTACCCTTTAAGTTTCGAACTTCTTAATTCAGCTTGATTGGTTAATTAGGTGATACTTAGCTGGTCTAACAGCAGTCACAAAAACCTAAAAATAATTCTAAATGGTAGATGATATGGTAATATGGTTTACTGGGTCGATATGGATGGTTCAAAAATATTTTAGGCCAAACGTAATCGGTTAATCATATCTTCAAAATTTATGGACTAACACACATGACAAATTGAGAATTTTGAATTTCTATTTCGTGACACTAAATGGTAAACAAAAATATGGTCTAAATAATGTAGAAACTATAGAAATGGTTTTCTAGGTTAATACAAATGGTTCTATTAACTTTTGGATCAAATATAGGCTATCAGTTTTTCTCAAAAGTTTATGGACTAAGATTCACAAAAAATTGAAAAAAAAATATCTCAAATTAATAAAAAGTTGTGTATCTTGTTGAAGATTCACAAAAAATTGAAAAAAAAATAAATCTCAAATTAATAAAAAGTTGTGTATCTTGTTGAAGTTATATAATAAATGGTTTACTAGATCAATATGGATGGTTCTAATAAAATTTGCGTCAAATATAGCTCTAATAATTTTAAATTCGTGTCTCACAGACTCACAGTAAAAAAAAATAAAATATTACGCTAGTCATGGCAAAACTCACACCATTGGGGATGGACCCTCTTGATTTTAGAACAAACAGAGAGCGATAATTTTTTGAAAATACATGTGCTAGTACACACCAAAAGTTTCAATTTATGAATTTACATTTCAATATTTCGAAATGAAAGAAATAAAGCGACATCAATCATGGTGAACCCAAAGTTGATTAGGATGGACCCTCTGATTTTCACGACAAAATGTAATCTGATGAATTTTTTTTATCAAATTCATGTTATTCGTGTTTCAAGATCTGAAATGCGAAGAATTATCGTCCATGAAGAAGTCTTTTAAAAAAATTCATATGAATTTGCGTCTCTAGATCTCGAAACGCAAAGACTTATTATCCATAGTAAAGTCTAGGATGTTTGAAACGGACCCTTCAAATTTCAAAGCAAATAAAGTTGATCAATAAACTTTTTCAAAAAATTCATATTCTAATACACAATGAAAGATCTGATAAGCAATGAATTCATGTTTCAAGCCCCCACAAAACAAAAAGGAAATTAAAAAGATGCGAGCCTTTTATTTTGAGATGATGAAAAAAATTCATGGCTAAAATACATTTAAAGCTCTAATATTTAGAAATTCACGTTTTAAAATTTCAACTTATAAAATAAAAACGACATCAATCGTGGCAAAGTCTGTATCTTTTGGAATGGACCCTTCAAATTCCAAGATACACAAAATTTATCGACAATTTTTTTTAAAAAACTCATTTATATTGAAAGCTCTAATAATTAATTGACATTTCGAAACCTCGAAACAAACACAAAATAACATTAATCATAGGTTATTACACTTCATAATTCCTAAATAACTTTTTATGAAATTCATAAATATAATGTCATTTGATTTAACATGTTATTAAACAAAAAAATATATTCTTTTAAAAATAAAATTTATAATCTAAAACGATTCATAAAAAGAAAATTTCTAATTACCCTATCGTCCAAAAAAAAATTGCAAAAATTTCAATCACAATCATTATCAGAAGAAAGGAGTATAGAAGTTGTCGTGTATGTTGATGCTCCTCATTCATCTTTGTCATAACTCACCAAACTCCTTACCCTACCCCCCACCCCTTCTTCTTGTCTCCTTGAAATAGGGAAAAGCAACTGATCAATCTCTCATTTGTTGCCATGATGACACTATAAACAGGTTCAATCTTGATTCTTTAACTACACCAGATGGTTTTACTTTCATTTTTTTTCCTTTGAATTCTGTTGATATCTCAGTATTTTTCAAATGGGTTTTTGTTTTTCTCAACTGGGTTGTGCTCTTTTTCTTCTTTTGAGATAAAAATTGGGTCTTTAATGTTTAGTCTTGGGTGTGAGTTTTAAAAATTGAATCTTTGATGCTTTAGTTTTCCTAATTAGTTGATTATGACTTAAATTGGTTTTTGACAAACTTGATTTGATGGTTATAGTAGCAGAGTCAAAGAGAAAAAAGGGTGTGTAGATAACAAATTGTGGCTATTGAAGATAAAGGTATAGTCTTTTTGCTCTGTACACTGTTATTGTAGTTAACTTTGTTGTGTTGGAATTATATTTTGTTTGTGATGATCTCAGTGTGTCACAGTTTTTTTGAGAAAACTGACTGTGTATAGAATCTTGATTATCAAATGGCTGAGGTGATTGGACCTAGATTGTACAGTTGCTGCAATTGTAAGAATGAAGTTGCACTTCATGATGACATTATTTCTAAGGCTTTTCAGGTTAGATTATGTTTCATTTTCTTTGAACTGTATGAACGTGGATAGTTTACGGCTGGCAAGTAAGCGCTCCAACTTTGAGAGTGTACATCTAAACACATCAACTTGGTCTCAATTGACAACTAAATACTCCAAATTTGTCCCTATCGTGTCTCATGGACATCCGACACTAATGTGTCACGTGATTTGGAGGTGTCTAGATGATCATTGTGTTAGTTGGGGTGTTAAATTTACATAGTGAAGATGAATTGGGGTGTCTAGATTTGTATACTCAAAGTTGAAGTGTTTACTTGCCATTTGAGGCCAACTTTAAGTGTATGTTTGTTTATGCATGCATTATGTGTTGATTAAACGTATGATCATTGTATGCCGTTTTTGCTTAGAGGTTCCTAGTACAAAAAGGTTATCAGTAGTTCTTGAGTTAGTGACTGCCACAAGTGCTCACAATATCAAAGATAACAGTGCGTTATCAAAGGCGAAACACACAAAAAGATCTATTGACCATTGGGATTTAACGAAAAAAAGGTGCAAATAGATTCCATTATGTACGTGAATTCCGAGATAATGATTATAAGCATGAATATAACACATATATGGACAAACAAACTGAATAGAAATCGATAAACTGACATATCAATGGTTTAGTGTTAGCACTTACCTCTTCGGGTTTATGCTGACTGAGGTGAAGCCCTGTAGATTTTTGTGCCTCGCTTCTGAGCTTAAGTGCACTTTTAGCACACCTTGACAATGTTACACCTATTTCTATTCTTCTCTTATAGCAAAAGGCAACGATCTCACCGTGAATTCAAGAAAATTGGCTCCTCTGCTATTGAAATGAGCATTTATATGAGCATATGTGTTTGTATTTCAGTTATATACCGAAAAGGAAACAACTTGGAAAGATGTAGCTCAACGAGGAATACATCTCGGTCTTTTCTATATGAGATATTCTGTTTTTTTTAAATCTATTTCGGTGCAAGATCTATTCTTTTGTTTACTTAAGATATTACCAGTAATATATTGTTGTCTAATTGACATCAGGGAAGAAATGGTCGAGCATTTTTGTTCTCTCACGCAATGAACATTGTCGTGGGACCAAAAGAGGATAGGCATCTCATGACTGGTCTCCATACAGTTGCTGATGTCCATTGCTGCGACTGTCGTGAGGTGCTTGGGTGGAAATATGAACGAGCATATGAAGAGGCACAGAAGTACAAGGAAGGAAAGTTCGTACTTGAGAAGTCAAAGATCGTCAAGGAAAACTGGTAATAGTCCACCCTGAATTCTATGAAAGTGTGTCGATGCTCCTATGTACGTGTTATGCTGTTAGATCAAATTCTCATCAATTCAAAATGTTGATTCATTGTTCATTGCTGTATAAATTTCTTATGTTTGTTGTTCGATTGGATTGGATATGTTGAACAATCTTGTGAATAATCTATCTCCAAAATTATAATTTGTAAATACCACAACGACAACAATAAACATACCTTAGCCCTACCTTTGTTGGGCAGAGAGGTTGTTCCCGATAGATTATGCCATCAAGTAATATGATGACATAGCTGGAGCAATGAGAAATTGTTTGATAATGTCTCTGGAATTGTTGCACCTATACTCTGATAGATGTAGCAGTTTCAAGTTTGGTATGAATTTGTTATTTTACTTCACTTATTCAAGTCCTGTAATTGAACAATTGTTTCTCCCAAGGGCATGTTAGTACGCGTTACTCACCCGTCCACCACTGTAAACACCGTTTCCCTTGTTTTCTGTCCGACTTGCATGTGTTAAGCATGTCAGTCAACATTCATCCTGAGCCGGGATTAAACTCTCCATGATCCATGAAATTCGTAGTTTCATTACCCTACAGCTTCCTTGTTCGTAGACAAAGCAGATTCGAAATTGTATTTCACATTTGGCATGAGTTTTAAGTTGAACTTGTTCATTCAATCAGATAAACAAAGTGAAAAATGATAGTCTGCCCTTCATTAAATAATCATCTGAATTTGGAAGGTATAATATTATTAACAAAAGGATGTTAGTAGAAGTCCACTGGATTACTAACCTTGCTGATCCAATTTGATACCAACAAGGGTTTCGTGGTGTAGTTGGTTATCACGTCAGTCTAACACACTGAAGGTCTCCGGTTCGAGTCCGGGTGAAGCCATTATTTTTGCCCACATGATCGTTTTGATTTTTTTATAGGAAACTTTTACATATAGCCACTTAAAAATAATTATACTCTTCATATCTATAC